CAGGGCACAGCCTACAGGGCAGCACTGCTCCAGCAAGCCTGCCCCAAGGTTGGAAACGTCAAAGGGAACAGCTGGGAACCGCGGGGCAGCGCGGCCCCAAGGCACGGCCCTGGGTTGTGAGCCCACCTCATAGACCGTTGCCGCCCCCGCCCCCCGTTTCCCACCCCTCGTAGACCCGTGGGGCAGAGTGAGGCGCCAGTAGGAAAGGGAGGGGTGCAGGCTCCAGTTACGCCATTATTAAGTGCTCAGATAGTCCCAAGTTGGACGGGGCTGCGAGTGGGTCAATTCAAACTGATCCGGGCAGACTGGAGAAATTGTCTAAGCTACATCGGGTGAAGTTTAAGAAGGAGAAACGCCAAGTGCTCCACTTAGGGAGGAACAATCCGTCTCTCTCACACAATGGGAAGTGACTGTCTAGGAGAGTTCGGCAGAAAGGGAGCCAGGGGTCAGAGTGGACCACAAGCTAAATGAGTCAGCAGCCTGACACTGTTGTAAAAAAAGCCAACGTGACTGTGCACTACATGAAGAATGATGAACGGTCTGGGGAACATGACCTATGAAGGGAGGCTGAAAGAATTCGATTTGTTTAATTTAGAAAAGAGAAGACTGATGGGAGGACATAAATAGACAGCTGTTTTCAGATATCTAAAAGGATGTCATAAGGAGGAGGGAGAAAAATTGTTCATCTTTATCTCTTAGGATAAAACAAGAAGCAATGGGCTTAAACTGAAGCAAGGGAGGTTTAGGTTGGACGTTAGGAAAAAGTTCTTAACTGTCAGGGTGGTTAAACACTGGAATAAATTGCCCAGGGAGGTTGTAGAATCTCCATCTGTGGAGAAATTTAAGAGTAGGTTAGATAAATTGCTATCAGGGATGGTCTAAACAGTACTGGGTCCTGCCATGAGGGCCGGGGACTGGACTAGATGACCTCTCGAGGTCCCTTCCAGTCCTAGTATTCTATTATTCTAATTTTACTTGCAATTCTGTTAGTTTCCAGTACGGCCTATTAATATTAGCATTGTAGACAGTTAAATACAAAATACTTAAGTCCCGAAGGATACAACGTATAACTTCTGCTTACAAACCTACTCATCTTAAATGAGCATGTGTCAATAACAACCACCACCACCACCAACAAAATTCAAATGATCCAGGTGCTCAGCTCTCCCAAACAATACATACAGATTAATTTATAGCTAAACATTATGTACAAAAAAATTCCCTCTTTCTATGTAACTATACTGTCTGCTTAGCTCCTGATTTTCAGCTTCTATTCTATGGATTTCCATTTTAAGTGAGACAGGCAGACTTCTGTAATTTACTGTTATATTGCCTCTGTCCTTAGCTTTGTATCAACCAGCTGAAAAATAACACTGTAATATGCATGCCACACATTTTCAGTTAATTTGAAACAATGCAGTACAGTATTTTAAACAAACCAAATTCTCTTATTCTATGATAATTATTTAGCTCTTCTTTGTTTACACTATCTATAAAAAAGAACTGACTAGTAATTTATTCTCTTATTTAACTAGTTTTTTGTTTTAAACCTGTATTAAAATGGGAAATAACTTTTATGCCTTTCCTCATTATATTAGTAAGAACTATGCTAAATTGACAGATACCGTTAAAAGCTGACTGATTTTCAGTAATATACCTACTTTTTACACTGGGATTTTTTTTAAAAGGCAGAAACCGCTGCTGCTTCTTTATGCTTGTTTAGCACCTCAGCATTTGTGGACAGTAACAACAAAAATTGTGCATGATGGAACAAAATGCTAATTTCCACATTCTGGTAATAGAAAATCATGTTCATATTATAGTATGACAAATGCAAGAATTTATTTATATTCCTCAACACAAAGACAATGTTCTAAAAGGGTTACATCTGACATGATCAAATTCTATTAATTAAATATTAATTGGAGTCCCATGGCAACAGAAATGTTTGATCTCTTACAGAACAAGCTCCACTAGAAATATCTGTTTCAGAGACAAAAAGCCAGTGTTTCCTCCAAGATTAAGTGAATCATCCTTTTAACATTTTAGCACTTTGTTTTTCAAAACAGTGCCTTTTATGCTCATGGCTTGCTACAATAAACAGCAAAAACAGTCTATATAAAATCTTGCACAGAATCATTTTAGAAAAAAGTCCTTGTGAAACAAACATTTGCTTTGAATTGGGAGCAGAGCACTTTCAGTGTTAGATAATCATGGGGAGACAGTCCCATCTTCCACTTCTATTATCTGGAATCCAGCCAGCATTTGTATCTAGCACTAGCACCAAATTCTCTCTGAGAAGGAAAAGGATGACTGACAATTATATTTCCTTCAATGTAACATCTGATTCTATGATCAAGAAACCATTTTGCAAAGGGCCAGACTAGCTACCAACCTCCATTTTCTCAAATAAAAAAAAAGTTAAATTCCATAATATTGAATAAAAACATACATTATGAATTATTACAAAAATATAACTAGTAGTTGCAAAAATTAATATAGGCCATTAAAAACCCAATCAAGTATATTATGCTGAGTCTGGAAGCAAGACAAAACTAATAACTACTGTAAGCAAAGGGTGAAACTATTCCATGGGCAAAATATTTTGGGGGCACTGAACCTAATAAATCAGCATTGTCAGAGGATACCAATCTGATATACTGATTTAAAAAAAATGAACAAAAACATGGTATCTTCCATTATGATATTCTGATTTCAAACAGGAAGTTGAAAATTTTCATTATTAAACATATAATTCTTACCATCTTCATTCAGGAACAGTTTGTTGAATCTTAATCCGCTAGGCTCTTTACCAACGTATCTGTGCACATACTCTGTGCCTAGATCATTAACAGCAACAGCATATTTCAAAGGCTTTACACAGGACTGAAGACAAAAGGGGACTTTGGTATCTCCAACAGAATGCCTAACAAAGAAACAGATACAATTTAATATTTTCCTTTTTTGACTACTATGTCAAGATTTACTGCACTAAATCTTCAGATTATTATTGAATGTTTTTGTACTACCAATATTGTTAAATTGTTTTAAAAACAGAAATCTGTACTCAATTCAATATGTTTTATTTTTCAATGTGTGTAAAGGCAACAGTGAAGTCAAACTCTAGTAATCACCATATAAATAAGAAAACAGAAATAGTGAGCTGGTGCCAGGCACAAGCAGCAGAACGCAGAGTCCATGGAAAGACGGAGGCTTCTGAGAAACTGGAGACCCCGGCACCCTCCGGAGACATCTCGCTGTTCACAGGCGTGCTGCATTCGGGCCCCTCCGGGAGCAGCATGGAGCCCAGCGCCGCAGCGGTACGGCCATGGCCTCGTGCCGGCTGGGGGGAGGAGCAGGATCAGGGGGAGCCTGCAGCGCAGCAGCTTCCAGTCGGCGCCTCACACACGGCGCAGCAACAGCCGCCAGGAAGGGGAAGCAGAAGCGTCCCCGAGGGGATAATTTACAGGCGAGATTTATTTGAAGAAATATTACAACATATAAAAACTACAGAGTATTAATTGCCACTCGCAGGAAGTGGCTGATTATTTTCAATGCATAATAAAAACATCGTCCTTAAAATCCAGAATGCGGTGGGGCACTGCACAGCCGATCACGAATGATTAGTAGTGACACTTGGACCATCACACACAGCTCCCGCGGCGCCAGGGAGACCAACACGGAGACAGACCTCGTCACGGCAGCAAGCCCAACGAGAACAGAACACACGAAAATCAGTGCATGGTTGAGTCCGAGGCCGGGGAGCCGGGCTAGTCCGCCACTTCCATCTTGGCTGCTTTGCTGGGCTCTGCCAAGGGCCAAGAGGGTCAACGTCACCCCAGGTCCCACTTCAGCCTGGCCCCCCAGCAAGGCTGAGAGTTGGGAGCCACTAGCCAGTCTGGGCAGCAGGCGGCGCCGTAACACGAACACCCACAAGCCGCCCGCTTTGAGACCCT